TCTCTCTTTTCTCCCTCTCTCTGTCTCTCTATTTCTCTCCAACACTCACCCCTGCCGACACGTTGTAGCTTCCTATCACTGTGTCCTCTGTCATAATTATTCTGAGTGGTGGAGTAAGTGATCAGGTACACCCTCTCCTCTGTTTCTCTCTCTGTCTCTATCTTTCTCTCTATCTATCTATCTATCTATCTATCTATCTATCTATCTATCTATCTATCTATCTATCATCGATCTATCTATCTATCTATCTATCTGTCTATTGATTCTCTCTCTATTATTTTACAATCTTTCCCCTTTTCTCTCTATCTGTCTCCAACACTCACCTCAGCTGGCACATTGTAACATATCTCCCCATCCTCTGTCATATTCCAAATGGTAGAAAACTTATATTTATATGATTGGATACATCTCCTCCCCCCCCCTGTCTGTTTGTCTGTCTGTCTGTCTCTGTCTCTTTCTGTGTGTCTGTCTGTCTGTCTGTCTGTCTGTCTCTCTCTCTCTCTCTCTCTCTCTCTCTCTCTCTCTCTATTTCTCTCCAACACTCACCCCTGCCGACACGTTGTAGCTTCCTATCACTGTGTCCTCAGTCATAATTATTCTGAGTGGTGGAGTAAGTGATTAGGTACACCCTCTCCTCTGTTTCTCTCTCTTTCTTCCTCTATCTATCTATCTATCTATCTATCTATCTATCTCTCTATCTCTCCATCTCTATTCTATCTCTCTCACTCTCTCTCTCTCTATCTATCTGTCTATCTATCTATCTATATATCTATCTATCTATCTATCTATCTATCTATCTATCTATCTATCTATCTATCTATCTGTCTGTCTGTCTGTCTGTCTATCTGTCTGTCTATCTATCTATCAATCTCCAACACTCACCCCCGCCGGCACGTTGTAGCCTCCTATCTCGGTGTCCTCGGTCATATTCCGACTGGTGGAGTAAGTGATCGGGTACATCCGGAGAGTCTCCTTCACCACGCCCTTCACTAAGGGCAGACGACACAGCACGTCAGCAGCTACGTCACCGTTCTTGTCTGCGGCCGCGTTGATCTCCGAGAGCAGACGTTCCTGTACTTCCGGGTGTTTCGCCAGGAGATAGAGGCACCATGTTGTGGCTGTGGATGTCTGTCGAACGAGAGGTGAGGGTTGACCAAAATCTTCCTATCCTCTTCTCTCTCTTTCTCTCCCTCTCTCTGTCTGTCTGTCTGTCTGTCTGTCTGTCTGTCTGTCTGTCTGTCTGTCTC